AAGTACATGTCATATTTTCTTGCATAACTTTTATCAGCGTAGAAATTATAAAAGTAGCCTATCACATTTGTATTTCGATTGACCGCAATCTGTCAAAATGTGTTAAACAATTTTAACAAATCGAGTTGCGACTACAGATTAAAAATATGTTTTTTTTAGTTTTCTATTCTAAAGGTGGTTTCCAATTTTACTAATTTTATAAATACAAAATAATAAAAGGATGGATATTTGTTAGTTTGTAGTAAACTGTTGAACGGATCGCGATGACATTTGATAAGAACAGGATAGTCTGGAAGAACACATAGACTACTTTTTTTTTATTAATTCCACGCGGACGGTTCTTGGGCGAAAGCTATTATATAATACAAATATATATTAAATATAGTATATCTTACTTCAATATGTTTCTCTACATATTTGACCTGGCGCTCGAGGGCCTCCCAGTGCGGCGCGCGCTGCTTCACGCTGGCCTGCGCCAGCTGCAGGTTGTCGCGCTCCGGCACGCGCTCCTGCGCGCCCGCCGGCGGGGACTCCTTCGACTCCAGGAACGACAGCAGACCTGACGGCTGAACAAATATCTCATATTACTTATCTTTACTTTTATTACTTGCCTACGGATTTAAAAATATATAGAAAAAGCATAGTTGACACTTCACTTGAAACATTTTTTATATAATCCACTAGCGCTACATAGTGTCCAATAGTCAAAATCACAAATAATTCAAACGTTGAGATGCGTCTCCCTGTGTCAAATATGACATTGAGATTTCACCATACAAAGAAGTTATCGGAGAAATAATGTTGTTCTCTATGTCTAGTTTATATATTTCTTAAATGTCTTTGCTTGCATATTAGCATTTTACTCTCATCTATACCAGTATTATAAAATGGAAAGATTTGTATTTTTGTATATATTGAAGTAACTCAAAAACTACTGGGCCGATTTCAGATATTCTTTCGCCATTAAAAAGCTACGTTAGCAGTGTCTATTTTTCACACGGACAAAGTTGTGAGCAACAGCTAGTTAAAAATATATAAATAATTTCCAAAACTTCAATACAAACATTTTTAACTATTTTCTCCATTCAGTACTACAATGTAAGATTATAGTAACAAGTAAAAAACAATATAATACGTTCCTCTTTTTCTTACTTTTCAAGTAGATAATGATTTACTTAACAGTGGTAGAGCCGGATTAACATCTTCGCACGAATATGCCGGCTTGCCCAGAGTAATGAGTGTGGTGCCGGAGGCCTAACTTTAGTCCGTTTCCTCACCTTTATGAGTGGAGGAAACATATAGGAAGGGGAAATATCCTGTTTACCATGATCCGCTGCAGCAGGTCGTGGGCGGGCGCGTGGTTGACGAGCCAGAGCGCGACGAGGTGGCGGGCGAGGTGGCGCAGATGCAGGCGCGCCGGCTGCCCCGCGGGCTGGTAGAGCGCGGCCAGCAGGTGGCGGGGCAGCGCCGCCTCCGCCAGCGCCAGCGACTGCATGCGCGCGCCCACGCCGCCCGCGCCCTCCTCCACCAGCGCGCGCGTCACCAGCCCCGCGCCCTTCACTATCGCCAGCGACGGGTGCTGCACCACACATACTTATTTACTGTTCATCTTACAATTATACTAATATTAAAAAAATGTGAAAGTTTGGATGGATGGATAGATCTTTGTTACTATATATCTCGGACTAAAGGAAGACTAGGTACATTTAGGCCACCGCTTTATATTAATTGCTCCTACTGGCTACAAATATTTTTACAGGCTTATCATGCCAGTTGTTAATACTACCTTTGAGCAACACCTTGGTCCCTTTGCGAAAATTTTTGCATACAACAAAGTGGCAATGAAGTGTGACATAAAAAACAAGAAAACATATGAGGTAAAGAGTATCGTATCAAACTGGCTTGCCTCGTTGTCATACGATGAAGTCAGGACGTTAATATATACCTTCTGCTCGTACAGTATAAAACCCTCGCGAGGCCTGGGCTAGTATGAAGGTGTTAGTATTTTCGAAAAGTGATTTAAGAAGAGATAATGTTTGATAGGACAATGTATATTGTTATATTTATTTAAATAAATTAAAATTTTTCATTTTCATCTTTCATTTACATCTGTGACAAATTTCAATGAGATCCGTTAACCTGTTCTGGCTATAGGAAGTGACAAACATCCATCCATCCAAACTTCCGCATTTATAATATGAAACATTACTACATTGTGTTAATACTTAAATTACTTCAGTTGAGTTTACCTCAAACAATTTGAATACGACGCGTCCTTTGTTGGCGACCATCTCCAGCAGCTGGTCGAACTGCTTGCCGTCCGTAGTCTCGCTGTAGGGGACGCACAGCGCGAACGTCAGGAAATCCAGCATCGCCGCCACCACCAGCGCACCGCTGCCCGCGTTCTGGAAAACAAAGTAAAATATACTCATTATTAAATTGTTTACAACTAGATAACTCGGTATTTCCTCTATTAGGATAGATTATTATAGATTATGATAGATATTTACTTTGACAGGAATAGCTCGCTTTCATATAGGTATGAAAGCTATTCCTGTCCGGCTTCATCCGCATGAAATTATAAAAACTTTTTTTTTTTCAATTGCAAAAAAATCAAATGCACTATGATAACGAAGGCCTTTGGATTACAATTGCCGTTACCATGGTAACCTTGCTTCTTTGATGTGTCAGCTTGTAGTTTTTGTCTCATTCCCTTATAACGATTTTTTCCAAATTACTTACTCCTTAAATTTAATAACGTGAATATATATTGTCTAAAGAGTATCCTAAATGTAGAACTTTTTATTAAAAAAGAGTATTATTCAAAAATATACTGTGAATGCTGACATCCATCGTAACTAGTGTGTTTACGCTTTATTAAATCAGTATAGTTCTAGGTGATGCAAATTTTGTTATTAAAGATATCTCCACATCACTTACCACATGCTCCGCCCACATGGTGAGCAGTCCATCTAAGAAGGCCGGTGAGGAGAGCATGCTGGCCTTGTTGAGCTGCTCCTGGCGCAGGTCGGGCTCCGCGTGCATCGGCTGCATCAGCGCGCACACCGCGTCCAGCGCCGCGTGCGAACACGCCGCGGAGTCCCGCCGCAGCGCGCTCACCACCGCACTGCCTATCCACTCGCGGAAACTGACACAATATAACATTTTTTTATACCATAGGGTGGCAAACGAGCAAGCGGCCACATGAATCATATCTGCACATAGTCACGAAGGAAACGCAGATAAACAAGATATTTCCGCTTCCTATGCGTCTCCTCCAGCGTCAAATCCACGTTCCCTTCCCATCCTTTACATATAAGAAAAAGGGTGGAAACGAAAAGGGACTCTAGTTGGACGTCCGGCAAACCATAAAACACACTCTATTTTCTTCTAAAATCACCATAAACTAAGTACTCGATGTTTGAAAAAATTCGTGTAAATGGCTTCCAAAGTAATGTCTGTATACAGACTCAAGTTTACAGTATTGTGATACTTTTATATTATTAGCTAGCTGTTGCTCGTGTCTTCGTCCATGTGGAATAAAAATTAACTTAGTCTGCGTTATACAGATTACGTTGCTATTCATTGGTGAAAGGCTTTTTTAACTGGCTCAATAATTTTTAAGTTATTTTAAAACATACAAAAATCTCTTCTTTTTATAATAGTATGGATTAAGAACGAGCGCACATCTTTAAAAACTATCGCACACATTCTGCGATTGTCGATTGTCAATTGATTCGCAACCAATACTACTGTTTAGTTCCACAACTAAAAAACGAGTAGTGTGCGCACCTTCATAAGCTCAAAGGAATCAAAGCGCGACTAAACAGTTATGCGATAGTTCAGTCAAAATATAACCAATTCTATCCTTTCTAACCGTGACTTACCCGGGCAGCGCAGTAAATGCAGCAAATCCAACTTTACTTGCACAAAGTCGTCTAAGAGCGTGGAACTGCGCCTCCAGTTCGCGCGGCGTCAGATGGCTGCCGGAGGGCGCGCCGCTCACCAGCGCAGTCAGCGCACCACTGATCAACTTCTCCTTGTTCTCAGCGAACAATCTCTAACAAATAACACCATCATGCCATACTATGAATGCATTAAGCACTATTTCCACTAAAAAGTCGCACGGATATATTTTAACCACGATATTTCTGCAATGATTGATTGGAAATTGATAATTTCAACATGGCAACATTGTTTGATAGTAAAGCATTGTACAAACTTTTCGTCATATGGCTTTGATGTCAAAAAAAAGTACAGTCAAACAAAGATGTTTAACCAAGTAAACTAAGCGCTGGCTGGTTGATTCTGTGAAACTTGTAAGACCTACAAGGATATAGAAAATTACAAAAAAGGCGCTAGTGAGCTAAATAAAATTTATTTTCAGTTATACTCACCGGGTCAAATAACTTGTCTGTCTATATGAATAAAGGTAGAGGAAGACCAAAGAAAGTATGAATGGATTTTGAAAGAGGATATGCATAAGGGAATGAATTCAGTATGAGGGCTGATAGAGATGTATGGAACAGCAGCACATACTGTGTCTACCTTTAATAGGAATAAGGTTGATGAAGAATTACCAATGACGTCAATGACGTAGAATATAATGCCATAGTAATTTTTACAAACTTTGCAGAAATATTATGGTTTGAAATTTCTCCAACTTAGTGCAAGAGGGATACAAAAGGTAATTATTAACATATTTACAATTCTATTTATGATTATTAACACTATGTTATATACAGTACATGAGAGAATTCGCTTGTTAAACAAAGAAAGATAAATTTAGTTGTGCTAATTTAAAAAGTTAAAATGACGTTGCATGTTTAAAAACCGTTAATTTAACGATTATTAGAATTCGAGGGAGGTATATATTTATTGTTATTTTTTTTTTAAATGCATTTGATATCATGACCAAAATTCACCCAACCCTTTGAATGCTGTTACAAAACACCCAGTGACAATAACCTTGCACAACATATATAAATTTAAATAGAGATAATAAACATTATGGGGACTTACAAGATCCCACGTAAGAAACAGCCACAACAGGGGACGGGCCTACAACGCATACAACACAATATTAACATGCCCCGTAGTCACTATCACAAACTTAAACACAAGCGATAAAAATTGCAGTTCATTCAGTGTTGTTACACCTTTATATTATGTCATCTCTGTTTATAAAGAGAATGAAAGAGATAGCAATACAATAAGAATCCTTATAAGGGTTATGCCACATTGACGATGCGATAGCGTTGATAGTTACGTTAATTTACAAAGGATTCACATACTTATGAGCTGCAATTTTTTTTATGATATGAATTTAAAAGTTTAAATTACTCCTCCAGTTGTAAATGAGAAAACTAAATATGTATGTACTATAGCTTTGTTTAACTAAATGTATGTACATGGTCGCTTTCTTATACTATTTTATTTCTATTACGAGCGTAAAACAGTTATTTATATGGCAAATTGTACATTACTGTCATAAAAATAAGGTTTAGTTTTAATTGATCACTAAACTAAACGGTAGTGGCATTTAAAGTGTTAACTTGATTTAAGAAGCTAAACAAACAATAGTAAGTGTAATATTATATTGTTAGAGAATATTGTTAAGTAAATGTTAGTATTCATGCTTATTAATGAAAGGTTTAAGAGTAGTTTTTGAACAACAGATTTATATCATCCATTCGTTTTTTTTAATTATTTTTTTTTTTATAACTGACATAAGATATTTTTCATATAATCAATAATTAAAATAATAAACTAAAGTTATTTACTAAACTTTACTTAAAACTTTTTAATAAAGTTTTATTTATTTTAATTTATCTAAAATATGGACTAACCTCCGAATTATTTCTTATTTAATTTAAAAATTAATTTAGTCTACTAAAATACAGAACTCAAAGTATTTATCTATCATCTACATACAAAATATATTATAATTGTTAATACATTAGTTACATACTACCAACTGTTAGGTTTATGTTACCAAGATGATGTTAACAGACACATATAACATGATATATTTACTCACGTCTTGACTGACGGAGTATATAAGGCCGCTGTAACCGACATTTGCGTTAAACCGCTCTATTACTTCCGCAGGTAACATATCACCTGGGTTCTGGAACAATCTGAAAACAACATTTGATTATTTATTACCTAAACAGTTAAAAAAAAGCTTTTATGCGGCAAGTACGCATTTATAATATTAGTATGAAGTATGATAAAGAGGTGATTATGAGTATACCTTAGGTGGTTGGACTCCGTCTCCTCGTCAACGGCCTGATGCAGGGGGCCCAGCCGGTAGCCGCGCGGCGTGCCCCACGACCGCACGTGCACGTCGCGCTGCCCCGTAGACCGCACGCCCTCCACCAGAGAAGCTAACAACGCGTCCCTACAAACATTTTCAAGTCAAAACTGTCTATTTTATACTGTTAAAAAAAATTTAAGTTGCAATGGAAGATCAGCACAACACTAGATCAATTAAGTAAGTCCCATCCCTAGGACATCTGTCAATGTCATTCAGACGTATTACAAAAAGCGCGCCATTCTGATCTTATAAGTGTAGAAGTTAATAATGTTACAATTATTTTATTAGCCATATAACTTTGTGTTAATACAAAAACAACGTATTTCTTAACTATTTTCTCTTACGACTTTGTGCGCGCTTTAGGTGTCTCCCTCAGAATAGAATTAAAATCAATAATATAGATAAATACAGTAATTCAAATAAATTAACAATGAGAGGTTTAAATGCGGCTAAGTGCGGTAAGCCAAATCATTCCTAAATCCTTAAAAGCTAAAACCCTAGCACGAAAATTGCAGTGAAAGTTTTCATATTGACACCAAAATACATTGTATGCATTTTGAGCAGAAGATTTTGTTGCAAGGCCCACTGTAATTGCAGTAAGAACAATATAGACTACGAGCTATCGCTCGCGACTCCGTCCACGTAGAATTAAAAAAAAAAAACCAAGTAGCCTATATGTTCTTTTAGACTATCCTCTACATTTATGCCAAATTTCTTTGAGATCCGTTCAGTGGTTTAGGCTACAAATTCTAACAAACATCCATCCATCCATCTAAACTTTCACATTTATAATATAAGTATGATTGTAAGTTACCTTTCTCCAGCCAAATAAGTTCGAACCTGTCCATTTAAATATTCTATAGAAAACTTCTGCGGATGTTCGGGATCTCGGACTAAAGCGAAAACGTCGCTCAAAGGACGCAAACACACAACCTGCAAATAAATTAGAATAAATGTTACATTAGAAAAACTATTTCGATTGTTATTCAAATTAAATGCTAGAACGAGACTCATAGGAGCCCGAGTAAACAACACAAAACAGTAAAAAAATACTATAACGTCGGAATGATATTCAGTTTCTTACATCTTACCGAATATGTCTGTGGATCTCGTTCCAGTATGCATGTATCAGAGAGGCATAGGGTACGTCGCATTGGCTCAATATACCGCGCGGGGTTCACCTTGTGGACCGTGAACTCGCTCAATGATGTCTGATGTTGATCCTCACTGAAAAATACATTATCTTTGAATACAGTCATTAAAATATACTGTTAGTAATTATTACTAGTTGTTTCTCGCGGTTCCGTCCGCGTAAAATTATTAGCATAGCTTTTTATTGGTGAATGAATTATTATAATTTGAGTTATTTCAATAAGAAAAATAGACAATATAATCCGATTTTTTTTTCGTCTGTTTGTCTGTCTGTCTTCAGACAAAGATTAAAAACTTATACATTACAGAAATCCAATATTAAAATAGTGTTTCAAAGAAATGTAAGAAGAATAAGGTAACCTACTTCCAGGCTAACATTCTTCAGTAAAGTCTAATCTGATTAACACAGTTAAGTTATGTTACAGTTAATGTAAACACTAAGACATATTTCTTGCTTTGAAAATGTTTCTCAAAGAGTGAAAAGTGTATCAGCTATATTAACAGTTCTTGACTAATACTACTTCGTCTAATAAGAAAAAATCATTCTAAATTTCATCTAGATCTGATCAAACATACTCATGTTATGTGGAAAAATATTTCCATACATAAATCTGTCCAAATTTACACATTACAATATTAGTACTATTGTGTCAATTCTATTTGCAATATAAGTCAATAAGAAAACTTTAGTAATAACTAGCTTTCGCTCGCGACTCAGTCAGCATACAATTAAAAAAAAAACTAAAGTCAGTAGCCTATGTGTGCTTCCAGACTATTCTCTATATTTGTACCAAATTTCACCAAAATCGGTTCAGCCGTTTAAGCTACAAACTCTAACAAACATCCATTTAAACTTTCGCAGTTATAATATTAGTTAGATTATAATCTACTGAAGGCTTGTCGTTGTATTGTTACATATTATGTAATTACGATACCATAAATCTGAATCCTTCAGCACTAAATAACAGTGTTTAATAATTTGCAACATTCAATTAGATAAAAAAAACATTTTATACGAAATGATAACAATATTTTACAACTACATTTTATAGCAAACATGTATTAGATAAACAATGATTCACTACTTCAAGGCAATTTTAAACTTAGTAGAACTACACTGCAAAGTTTATTTTATGTTGGCCCCTATGTAAACTAACATATGTTTAAAACAAAAATTTTGCAAATAAATCTTTAAAAATAAAACCTTATGTCCATTTTGTTATTACCATATATTCAACTTGACAAAAATAAGATTACTAAATATAACAAATAGAATCATTTTTATAATTTTTCTTTAAAAAGCAATCTACAGTAGAACCTAGATAAGTTAAAGTCCAAGAGAAACACAAAATATTTTAAGTTATAGAGATTTTAAGTTATCAAGGGTCTATGTTATAGAGGTTTTGGTCTCTGATGGGAAGGGAACATTTTATTTTTTGAAGTTATAGAGGTTTTTATGTTACCAAGGTTTGAGTTATCGAGGTTCTACTGTATATTGACATAAGCATTCAATAAACAACAAAAATCTACAGTTGCTGCTAATGTTACTTTCAAATTCGAAAAGAAATTGATTAAAATGTTGATATCATAAGGAGTAAGTCCCAAAATTCCGAGATGAAAGTTAGAAATGTATATGTAAATAATTTTTCATACCTGTACTTTCCGAATCTTTGATTATGGTAATCATCCAAGGTGATTGTCGCTGTTAGGACTTTTATTGTTGTATTCAGAATTAAGTTGGCCATTTCCAACATTTTTCCTATAATAGCTTGGTGTTCCATTGAATTTGAAAATAAATGTAGACGGCTATACCCTCCGACAGCTAAGACAAAACCTCCAGGGATATCTATCACTGGTAATATCCCTTGTATATCACAATATGGGTAGCTGGCTAGAAGCGTATGTGTGGATGGGTCCAACTGCTCTAGAGAACATGGTCCTACTTCAAGGACAACTGGCAATCTAGTACCACTCCAATGGTGTTTATATGCTTGATATCTCTGTAACAAATTGATAAATGTAACCTTATTTTTTAAACTAATCTTAAATACTTTATAAATGCAGCTTGAAAACTGATAGACATCACTATTTTAATGGACTTTGGAGTTTAAGTGTGGCTTTATAATTTAAGCTTTATATTCAAATCTTGCTTAAGAATTTGGTTGAATTGTCAATTAATTTAAAGCAACAATAATTATTTATACATTTACAAATTTTCAGTAACATTCATTTGAAGAATGTGAATAGAAAAAAATTGTCTGTATTTGTAAACCTTATATAAGTTTATAAAGTTCAGTAAATGTATAAATATTTCTGCGCCTGATTGTTGAAATGTTATAACTGTCTATTTAAAGAAATATCTTACATAAATCTCCTTTGATTTTTCAGCAAACAGATGTCTATATTTAAAAGCCTCTGTTAATATCAAACATTTATGTTCAGATGAAAACTTCATTGTATCTACTCTCTTATCTTTCTTCATCTTGAGTACGAAATCATTGTTTGATACGGAGTTGGAAGTTTTGGGTAATGCAAGTTTTACAACATCCGCATACAGCCACTTGTTGGTCACCTCCAGTCTGTCTGGGTTATAAGTGGTGATGCCGCGCGTGCCCACTGAAAATACTCGCTTGTATTTGCCCTTCCATGAGTACTTTGTGACAAGGAATGAAGCAACATCCTGATTGTCCTTTAACGGAATCATCTTATCATTGCCTGGAATATTAAAAAAAATTATTACTATAAAACGTTTTATAATTATTCTAAAAGATAAATAAATACAATTATGTTCAACAACTGTGAACAGGAAACAGAACAAAACAATTGTTAGGAAAATAAGAGTCAAGGGTATAATGTGAAAAATAATAATAAAATTACAACTTATTTTAATTCGATTATTAAAAACTTAAAATATGAATGAAGTATGTTATATTCGACGCCTTTTGTTATGTATCCACCCCTTTGTAAATAGATCACAAGAAAATGGACATTGGAGACGTGTAAACAAGGGACTATTTGAAACTTTTTATTAATTTAAGATGTTAATGGTATTGACAAGACACACTTACAATTTTTTAGTGAATTCTCTTGGTTTATTGTGATTACCGCTTTAGGGATATGACCCGCATATTCAAGAAAACAATCAGAAAAATATTTATGAGATAAGCTCAATATACGGCACACTCACAATTGTATTTGACAATTGACGTGTAATGTTGCCATTTACATGCTAGTTAAACACGTTGAAAAGATTGAGATTAAGGTTTTCAAAATGCCACCATTTTGTAACACTTTCATAACCGCCCCTATACTTAATTTATGACCCTTTTGTTGCTTAATTGATTAATTGAAATGCGAAAACGGACACACAAATAAAAGGTTTGCATAAATTGGAATGTATAATTTTTGACATTGTCGATTTGTCATTCTGTCACAAAATCTGCCAGACTTTCATCAGATTTGTGTCAACGTCAAACTATTCAATTCGTACCGTACCATACGGTTAAAGTATATTTTTTGTTAAATCTGCATTATACATAACAGTGCGCCATGGTTCTAGACTTAGATTTATTTAGAGCTGACAAAGACGGTGATCCAGAAAAGATTCGCGAGAACCAGCGTAAGAGATTTAAAGATGTTGCTTTAGTCGACACCGTGGTGGATCAGGATCTTCTTTGGAGACGTTTGAGACACGAGGCAGATAATTTTAACAAATTAAAGAATGTGTGTAGCAAGGAAATTGGTCAGAAGATGAAGAACAAAGAGCCTGTGGGACCAGAAGATGAGGAAGTACCGGCCTCTGTTGCCGATAACCTGGTTAACTTGACTGCAGAACAGCTACGGCCTCTTACTGTAAATCAGATTAAAAAGGTAAACTTTCAGTATTAATTGAAGCCAAACTTTTTTCGACGTTAATTCCTTTAATTATTTAATCACAATGTTTTAGGTTCGTGTGCTTATAGATGAGGCCATAACAAAGAATGAGCAAGGTCTAATAACCGCAGAGAAGGCTCGTTCTGCAGCCTTAAGGGAAGTGGGCAACCACCTACACCCTTCAGTTCCTGTGGATGATGATGAGGACCATAACCTTGTGGAGAGGACATTTGGGGACTGCACTGTTAGACAGAAGTACTCCCATGTTGATCTTATTTGCATGATTGACGGTAAGTACATCTTAGTTCTAGTGGCTTATAGAGACAAAGTTCCTATATTAATGGCCAAATACAGATTATAAGTCATAAACACTTTGCTTTGTAAGCTCCATTTACGATCTGACAGACATCAAAATGTTAATGGAATTGTGACTTTTAACATGTCTTTATCATTTATGATGTTTTAACATATTAAAATTATGTTTCATTATTTAATTATTTTTTTGTACAGGTATGGATGGTGATAGAGGTACAGCAGTAGCAGGTGGGAGAGGATACTATCTGAAAGGTCCTGCTGTCTTCTTAGAACAGGCTCTAATACAGCTCTCTTTGAGAATACTCCTGAAGAAGGGTTACACACCTTTGTACACTCCTTTCTTCATGAGAAAAGAGGTGAAGATTATTACATAACTTTGCTTAGTTTTACTTACTGTATTTAATTAAAAAAAATATATAAATGTCTTAGACTAGTTAAAGCATATACATTAGTCTTTGTCAATGGAAATGTTTATAGTTTTTGATGATGTTTACGCAGTAGTTTCAAATGTTTTCTTGCCTGAACAATAAATTATTACATTATAATTATTACATTATTTACAAGTAATTAATTTATTTTTTGTTCTATTAGGTGATGCAAGAAGTAGCTCAATTAGCACAATTTGATGAGGAACTTTACAAGGTTGTTGGAAAAGGTTCAGAAAATAAAGGTGATAATATCATTGAAGAGAAATACTTGATAGCAACATCAGAGCAGCCGATTGCAGCGTACCACAGAGATGAATGGCTTGCAGAATCCTCTTTGCCAATAAGGTTTGTTGTTGAAAATAAAATATTAACTACTAATGAATAATAATTACTACAAATTATGTACACAAAAATGTTTTTAAAATAATCTCATCAAAATAAAGGTACCATTTGAATGCATTTTCTACAAAATATTGATGACAATTTTCAGGTATGCAGGTTTGTCAACTTGTTTCCGACAAGAAGTAGGCTCTCACGGCCGCGACACGCGCGGTATATTCAGAGTGCATCAGTTTGAAAAGGTAAATCACCTGATCAAACAAAACATTTATTGTAGTCACATTACACTTTAACTCTTTAAAATATAAAATTATAATATAATATTTTTTTTTATAATACAGGTAGAGCAGTTTGTTCTGACCTCTCCTCATGATGATGCATCTTGGAAGATGATGGATGAGATGATTGGGAATGCCGAGGATTTCTACCAGACCCTTGGTATACCATACCGCATTGTAAACATTGTATCAGGTGCATTAAATCATGCGGCTGCTAAGAAATTGGATCTGGAAGCCTGGTTCCCAGGGTCTGGAGCTTTCCGTGAGCTTGTTTCCTGCAGCAACTGTCTTGAATATCAAGCTAGAAGATTACTGGTCAGGTAATAAGGAAAAATATTATATTTTGTGCCATTTATAAATATTTCACTACCTTACTTGAAAAACTTGATTTAAAAAAAAATCGTTTATGTTATTGATTTACCTTATCAATTAGAACACTATAGAGTTTTATTCAAGTCAGAGGATTTGTTTGTTAATGTTGAAACTATTCAGATATGGTCAAACAAAGAAGATGAACGCAGCAACAGAGTATGTTCACATGCTGAACGCGACCATGTGCGCGACCACACGTGTCATCTGCGCGGTGCTAGAATGTAACCAGACGGAAGAGGGTATTAAGGTAATTGAATATTTAAAAATCATAACTCGGCTACTTACAAATAATAGGAAACTAGAAATTAGTGAAAATAATAAAAAATCAAAACAATTATACTGGGTTCATAAATTTCACATCATAGTCTTAAAATGAATTTGAGCTACAAATGAAAAATGTATACATGCTTATTTTCTCAATGGTTTTATATTATTTTTGTACCACAGGTCCCCGAAATCCTGAAGCCATGGATGCCAGAGCAGTATCAAGAGCTCATACCATTTGTGAAGCCAGCTCCTATCGACCTGGAAGCGGCCGCCGCTGCTAAAAAAGGCAAAAAGCAAAAGGAAGACAAAAAATAATCAAATGCTATGCATTTAAAAATCTCATTCGCACACCAGTGGCATTTTATTTATAACGCTTTCATTAAGCTTGTAACACAGAATGTTTTATTTAAAATAAATATATTGAATCATTACTATGTGTGATTTTTCTGCTGTAGTTGTTGCTATATGTATAAGGTGTCCCCGCTTTTTTTTGCGGCCCTTCTGTTTATAGAATGGCATTATATACCATCATTTTAACTTCTAAAAAATGACAATCCAAAGCAGCAAGATTGAATACACTTTTGTTGTTTTGTAATATGTGATGTTCTCTTAAGCCTTAAATTTAATGACCTTTCTTGATTGAGGAAAGTCAAAAATTAATTGAAGTATTACAAACAAATGTTTCGTTATCAAATATACTAAACAAAATGACCTTTGAAGATCAAATTTTATTCACTCCATTCTAAGGCTATTTTTATTAGTTTTACAAAACTAAAAAAATAAGCCAATAATTTTATTATATGTAATTTATTGCGCGCGACTCCGCCCGTGTGTAAATAAAAATATATAGCCTATGTTACTGATGAGTTACCTTTCTAACAGTGAAAACAAAAATAAAAACGGCCCAATATTTTTTGAGTTATTTCAATACATACAAAACTACTAATCTTTTCTCTTTATAGTATTAGTATTCAAGTATAGATAATACTTTTAACCAGATTGACAAAGATAGTAATGTTTTTCGCGCGTTTGTAATTACTCTTAGGTAATTAGGGAGAACAAGAAAACATTACACTTTTGCATTTACTCATTTATTGTGACAAATTACATCCACTTGGGTCTAACCTGACTTATGCTATATGTTCGTCAAGACAATATAAAAATGACTAACAATAATATATATTACTCCTTATTAATATAATGAATACATAATACACAGAGGGACATATTTCTACAACCCAACCGTACATTTTATAAAATAAACAAATGTACAGGATAAAACTTAAAAACAATATCTTTCAGTTCAGAGAAATACAATTCAAATGAAAAATAAGATCTTATTAATTTCAATAGTTCAATAAAAATAAAACCAATTTAACTTAGACTACAAAATTTTTATGTCTATATTTTACAATAGTAGGATTTCTTCAATCCTTATCTATTTAGTTCTACAAAGTCTAAAATACATATTTACTGAAAGATAAGTATTTATGGATTAAATTATTGTTAAACAGCCTTTCCCAATTTTCTTCACTGTACATTGAAAATTTCAATTGTTTAAATATTTTACCATTCTTCATTCAATTTACCTCAGATATGAGGCATACTTCAAAGTAATTATAGAATTATACAAAAACTTCAAATTAAGGAAAATATGATTTTATCAATTCTAAAAACAAAATTGTTTACACATACTAAAGTTTTGATCAAAATAGAATGAACTAAATAAACATAATTATTTCCTGTTAGAATTTTTACTAAAAAAAAGGTATTCTTACTGGCTGAAAATTAAAAAGACACATTTGAAAAATAAACCTTCATTGTGACCTGCAAAGAAGTTATATGAGAATAATAGATAAACAAAATAGATACATGATACATTTTTTTCAATCCATGTATAATGTAATATTTTCAACCATTGCATTTTTTCTATCATTGCATTATTGTCTATCATAATATACCTTAGTTACTAGAGCATGATTTAATGATACATAATTTGGTATAATAAAAACCCAGTATTGTATATAGCATCCAAAAATTATCAAGATTATAAGACAGAACAATTATGGCGTCATACACTTGTCTACAAATTAACAACCTTTAATTCAATCTTTCCGTTTAATTAATAAGCACATTCATATAAAACGATGGCAAAATTATTTTCATACATAGAAATGCATTGACAGATTATATAAAAATGTAATAGCCTAACCAGAAATATAAACCTGGCCATATTCAAGAAAAATATGGAATTAATTTCTTGCACACAGAATATGATAAACTAATTGAAGTGCCCTGAAGCTGGGATTTTTATATTTCTTTGAAAAATAAGAAAGTGTATAAGCGGAATAAAATTTAATTGTAAAATAAAAGGAACAAAACAAAGTATTTTTCAGTTACTTGATGTTATATCTGAATCATAACTGAGCTTGGATGTTTTATTTTTTATTATTGTCAAACTACATTGATTTAAAACAGTTTTTCAGTTACACTATTTGGTGTATAAATAAAATATAAACAAGCATTTAAGCAATTTGAATTTAACACATAATTGTTGCAAATATAACAATCCCACAAAATTACATACCTTTATGATGGCAGTATTATGATAAGCCATAATTTATAAAGATTGCATTGGGTATAACATTGTCACTAGCAAGCTAGTTGAGCCTTTTGCCTACATTTGTGCATCAATGCACGTAAAGTAAACTGCCGCCTAGCCAATGTACGTACTTGTTTCAAGAAAGTATCCAGATCTATTACTTCTTTACGTAAAGCTTCGCCCATGTAATATATAGCATCTTCCAATGTCGCTTCTTCTGCAAATGCATTTAAAAGTTGAGAGTATAATGGAGCAGTTGTTACTACAGCCTCATCCGCTTCAATCCCATCTTGCTCCGCAAGTCTCTCTACTGCAGCCTCCAATTCCTTTTCTTTCTCTTGTAGTGTGCTCAAATTTTTCTCAAGCGCTGCTTTCTCTCGTTGCAGTCTTGTAAATATATCTTCAAGACGAGATTTGCCTTCACAGAGTTCTTGTTGAGTTCTCCTCAATGTTTCCAGTTCAGCCTGTGACTGCTGGGACTGTTCATTTAACTTCCTCCGCAATTTATCAGTAACTGCTGATAGTAATGAAGCTTTTATGTGCTCCTCTGTGATGGTACCACCAGCCATTTCAGTAACAACACCAAAATTGGTTGTTGGTGGGTAAGGGTTGGCAGCAGGATAAGGTGTACCTACTAGATTATTAGTGCTTACTGGACCTGGGTATGGTGTACCAAAGTTTGGATAAGGTAATGGATTTGATGTTGTGGGATAAGGGGTAGCTGTTGAATAACCTGGCTGGGGGCTAACTTGAGGATATGGATAGCCTGATGGATGAGGCATGAAGGGATCGAATGGGTATGGAATTTGAGGCTGATTGCGTGGTTTAGCATAAACAGGTGGCAATTCCCCAAATGCTGCAATCATCTTCTGAACCAAACGTTGTAGAGTTGAGCCAGAAGGTGACCATTCATGGAGATAAGGTAGATAAATCTTACCATTACTGTCAACCCATTTAGATGTTTTGATCGTCATATCAGGGGTAGGTTTTACAAAACATAATGGCGCATTTTGTGGATGAGTATCCATAAGCCAAATACAGACGGGAATATTGTAAAAAGCACCTTTGTAATTCACTGGTATCGTGCCTTCGAGGTTGAGTAAATCCTTTCTAGTGCCATTATTGAACACAAAGGCTTCTAAACGATATACAAGACTACGATGTATTTGAATCAGACTAATGACTTCTCGCGCAGTATAATCACGGTGTTTATATTTAGACAAATATTGTTTCAACACAACTTCATCGTTAGCCATAGCTGATGACAATTTCTTTTCAAAATGTATGCAATAGTTGTAATTAAGCACTCAAATACAAAATTTCTGGGAGGAAAAATTAAAATGACACACTATTGTCGGTTGTCAAATTGACTAAATGTCATTATTTACAGAGCAAATATTGTGTCTATAGAGTCAAAAAAATACTCTAAAGTACAGTTAAACTGCTTCGCGACATTCTACTACATCTTGGTAGGTCCTAATTTCGCCCTAGTTCCTATTTTAGGTACCTATAGCGGGGTATGGCGATATACAAGAAGAAAGTTCTTTGCTTTGTCACCTATACTTGTCTCTCGAACTTGAGTCGCCAAAATATTTGAAGAGTGCTATTTTACAACTTTTATATCGTAAACATATATTTAAAAACTGCAACTATTGGTATTCGCTACATAATTCAAACATCTGTCGATTTCAAGGTGGGACCACGAAAAGTCTATATTTGATATCTAATAAAAAAAGGAAAAATGCACGAATGTACGTTGCTGTTAGACTGTCCGAAAGGCCGTAATTTCACCGGATAACATCTGGAATGCCTGGACAGATTTTCACAAGACTGATGGGAAGGTAATTGGCGCACGTAGAAATTATAGGATATTTTGTAATCGGCTCGCACATAACCCCGAGCGACCGCTGGTTATATAAATGTTAATAATCGTAAATTGTTAAGTTGAAAATTGGCAACCCTACCCGAAGTGGCCTGAATTCCGTTTTTGACATTTCTTTTTCAACGAGCTGTCAGCGTTTGCGGAGCGCTTTCGGGCTCGTATTTTAAATCCGAAGTAATCTCGTTGGATTTTATATTTTACTTTGTGTGAAGCAAATAATATCACTGCACAATGCCGCCTAAGTTTGACCCAAACGAAATTAAAATCGGTAAGGCAAGTGGCTCTACATTTTTAGATGGGTTAAAGTGATGTGATGTTAAGTTTATTTTTTGTATTTTAGTTAACTTAAGGTGTGTTGGTGGAGAAGTTGGTGCAACGTCGTCTTTGGCCCCTAAAATTGGTCCTCTTGGTCTTGTGAGTATTGAATTATAGGGTCACAATTTGACTAACCATAATTTTGTATCTGTCAAACATAACCTATACGGCGACAAGACATGATTTCATCAGTACATCACTATTTTAAAAAAAATTAAATGTTCAAACTATTGGTTGTCTTGTTGTCTACATCCTGGGGGGCGCCACCCTACCAGGCGCGTCCTTCCGGTTGGCGGATGGAAGGAACCCGCGACTCAGGATCGTGCTTCTAGCCCGTTCCCTGTCGCGGCTACTCCGAATGTCCAATAAGGAGTCGCGGACCAGGCCATGTGATTTCTGAGATTTTTGAATACAGTTATAAATATAAATGAATTTGTAATTTTGTGTTCTTCAGTCTCCTAAAAAGGTTGGTGATGACATTGCTAAAGCTACCAGTGACTGGAAGGGTCTGAAGATCACAGTGCAACTTGTTGTGCAAAACAGGCAAGCTCAGATTTCTGTGGTCCCGTCTGCAGCAGCCCTTATTATCAGGGCTTTGAAAGAACCTCCCCGAGACAGGAAGAAGCAAAAGAACAGTTAGTATTTAATTATATATATAAATATCAATATTAGTAAGTGATTAAGGTAAAATTGTTCTCCTTTTCAGATGTGTATCTTTTTTAATAGTAAGGATGGGTGTAATTAATATTACTATACTTTATACTGTAGTTTAAAATTAAAGTCCTATTTGTGGTACAAAACTTATCTTCCACATGTAATTCTTTAAATGTGTCTTGAATGTATAGATTAAATATTCTTTTACTTTTTAATTTCAGTTAAACACAATGGGAACATAACATTAGAAGATGTTATAACAATAGCTAAAACGATGCGGCCACGGTCCATGGCAAGAGAGCTGTCTGGTACAGTGAAGGAGATCCTTGGCACAGCGCAATCTGTTGGCTGCACCATTGATGGCAGACCACCACATGACCTCATTGATGACATCAACAGTGGAGCTTTAACTATTGATGAATAAATGGGACCTCTTTTGATTTAACATTTGTTTTATTGTTAAGTAGCCAGAAATATAGTAAATACATAATTTTGTGATATAGTCTTGAAAGAGTAAAGTTCTGTAACCTATACAGTTAATAAAATCGCTGTTGGTATATATGTTATAACACAAGAAAATATGTTTTGTGAATTTGGCATATCATTGATAGTGGGCGATCGCTAATTAAAACAAAGATGACTAAAAAAATCCTGCTTGTTCCTAAATAAACTTTCCCGATGATGTTACTACTAAACTTAAAATGTTAAAGCCAAGTAGGCACAAAATACCATGACTTGGACTATTCAATCAATGTAGGTTAGCAATAACTACAGCTTTCCAGAGAGTGGGGCGGGTTAAACAGTCGCTCCAAGGGGAAATTACGGCCTACTTAAGAATTTTTTTGGAGACCAATGAACTTTAAGTGAACTTTCAATGATAAAAGTTAACTTAAACTACTGAAATATATCCTGCAACATCAACTAATGTTTTAACATTTCACATCTAAATTACTAATAGAAAAATAATTAAAACTACCACTACAAATCGGCCAAATGACGCCTACTGCTGGGCATAGGCCTCCCCCCAAAGATCGTCACAATGATTGAGCCTGTACCTCGCATCAAGGATACGCCCGGAACCTTGACTACTACATAATTTAAACTCTCTTCAATCAACAATAAATGTAACCAAACCCTACGAAATTAATTCAGCGCAGTAAATGGGAGTAAAATGAGCTTGAATGAAAGACAGGTTCTAGATTTTGTTGAATTGAAAAATAGTAGTCTAGTCAGTTTGGGGTGTGAGATGAATCTGATTCGATAAAGTATTTAATCCTAGTCTAATGATAATCCTCTTAGAATGAATTTATATCGTTAAACCACTTGAAATCGTTCAATTTTCAAGACAACCCATTTTATTAATTAAAAGATTAGCTATGCTCTAAAATTAGTGATAATTTGAGAAATGCTATTTACTCTGTGCTATTTCAGAGAAACTGTTTTGTTGTCAACACTGTTCCCTCCAAGCAGAAATGTCAAAATGGCGTCAACGCAGGACGCTTGGTATATTTCTTTACTTGGTTTAGCAGAACATTTCCGTACATCTAATCCTCCTGACATAAAAAGTTGTATACAGTGTTTACAAGCGGTTTTTAATTTTAAACCACCCCAAAGGGTCGAAGCCAGAACTCACTTACAACTCGGAAATATTCTTTTGACACACACTAAAAACATTGACTTGGCGAGAACGCATTTAGAGCAAAGTGTAAGTTTTTTTATTGTTTGTTGCATATTTTGTCTACTTTAAGCTGTTAGAAAATTGTATTATTAGGTCCTTAACTTTGATATTTTTATCGAGCATAAATATCAATTTCCTTATGGTGATAACTTTACTATAAAATGTAAACAGTAATGTTGAAGTGGGTCATTTGGTGTTTTTGTTGTAGTGGTTCCTGTCACAAAGTATCAATGGATTTGACGACGTAAAGTTCGAGGCTGCGAGCGTATTAGCAGAGTTATTTGAGCAGCAGGGCCAACCAACTCATTCCAAGCCTATCCTTAGGAAGGCGATTGAGTTATCACAGCACAGTATATATTGGCACTGCAGATTAATTTTTCAACTTGCGGTACGAAAATTTAGATATATTAACATTTTAGGATTTTTACAGATAAAACATATATTCTTTAGAGAGATTTTTATATATGTTTAATTCAGAATTTTATATAAAACTATGATTTTGATCTTTCAATCTACCTTTTAACAGTTCTACTTATCAGTTTACTAAATGAAATAGACATAAGTAAAATAATAACCACTTTTCCAGTGGATATTTACTAAATAATGATATATAAAAAACTAATTTAAATAAGACCATACTAATGATAGCTGCCCATTCTAGACCTACCTAGATCAGCTGGTAACACCTACAACTAAATAGCTGTTATAAAGGAAGTTTTGTCTGAAAATGCTTACCTATATTTATTTCAGAAATAACATAATAAATGTGTAATCTATACTAATGTTATAAAGAGAAAAGATTTGTGTTTTTGGGATATTGTATGTATTGAAATAACTCAAAAACTAAGGTTCCAATTTTAAAAATTCTTTCACAACGAGAAAGATAATAAATCTTTCAGTAACAGGCTTTATTTTTATTTTACGTGGGCGAAGTTGTGAGCAACAGCTAGTATCATATAGATGGAGTCATATTTTAACATGTAGTTTTAAATTTGCAGCAAATCCATGCAACAGAGAGGGAATATGAAGTGGCAAGCAGCTTGCTGGCTGTTGGGGTGGACTATGCACAGATCTCGAATGTGGCTTATACCAGAGTACTGTTTTTGTTAAGTAGAGTTATGGTATGTATCTAATTATTTGGGATTGGTTGCTTATTGTAGTTATTTTGCATTTCAGTAACTTCCATCAATTTGGATTTTTTTATCATATTTGTTTTTTTTTTTTATTATCTGCATAGCATAACATAGTTAATGCAAAATATGGTTATGTTTATCTTTTGCTATTCCAGTTGTTGTTAATAGATAAAAAGATCCAAGAAGTGTTGCCACTGTTAAATCAGGCCGGACATCTTGTGGAGTCATGGACAGGAAGTCCTCATCAGAAGGAGTACCTCAAAGTCTTTTTCCTTGTTTTACAGGTATTGGACAGTTATTAATATTTTTTTTAGTCTATAATAAATAGTGACTTTTATCTTCTGCAGTATTGTTTCAAAATATAGGGATAAGTTCAAATTATATTTAAATTCAGTTTGAATTAAGAACATCTAAATGTCTGGTTTAAAACATAATCTTACTTCTTAATATTATAATTGTGTTGTTAGATGGAGGGATGGATGGTTTTGTTAGAGTATGTGGACTAAACGGCTGAACAGATCTTGATAAAATCTGGCATACCCATAGTGGATAGTCTCGAAGAACACATTTAATTTTGATTTTTTTTTAATTCCACGCGTCTAAGTCGCGGACTTAAGCTAGTATGCTGTAAATGCAGTTTTTTTCTTATTAAATGTTGGTCAAGTGGGTGACAACTTAAATGTCATAAATGTTGTAGGTGTGCCACTATCTAATGGCGGGGCAAGTGAAGAGTGTGAAGCCCTGCCTGAAACAGCTGCAGCAGAGCATCCAGACCATTATGGCGCCCACGTGGCCTGACGACGATGGTGACAACAAATGCTTATCTATATAATAAATTTGGAGTGTGTATGTAATATTGAGAGAAAAAAATTTTGGAAAATTCTAAATATATTTGAAATAGCTGGAATGATATTGAAGGGAAGGTGGCTGTGAACAGCTATAGTTAAATTATAATTTGAGACCGGACAATGTCTTAATCTTTTATTTTTTTAATTGGTTTTAATAAATATGATGGCACATTTATTTTCATCATGCATTATGTCCCTTGTATGACAATTTTGTCCAATAACTTCACTTCCTAACTTAAATAGGGTGAAAATAATATATAGACTATCTTGTAAAAGGTTATTAATTTTAAAAAAATATCTTTAAAAAATATGCTTTATCATGACAAAGTGTGTGTTCACGGTTTACTATATTAGTATGTATAAATATGTAATATTACAGCGGTGTGTGGCAGCGCGTCCAGCGAGTCGTTTGTATGGATGTCTCGACAGCAGCTGTATGTGCTGGTATACCTGGTCACAGTGATGCACTCCGCACAAGCTGGATATATGGACAAAGCGCACAAATATACTGAGAAAGCACTCGCACAGATCGACAAACTCACATGTAAGTTATAATTGTTTTTAATTAAATATTGCCAAAGACTTATATGTTTAATAGGAATTATGTTTCTTATTAATCTGATATCCTTAATTTGAATGGAAACCTCCCCCAAAATTAAATAGAATGGCATTTTCTGTTATTTACTTCTTTATTGATTCTGGTATAGGTGAGTACATTACTTACCAACAATCATACCATGATGTTCGAGACCATTGATGGCTCCGGGGTTAAGCACTTACCTGGTAATCTAATCAGTAAATGCAGATTCTGTGTTCACCTACGAGTTCCAATATGTCTAAATGTTTGAATATCAAATGTTACATAACTGCACATATCTCTGTATCTATTTTATCTAGGTATGTGGGGTTTGACCTATTAAAACTAGTGAAAAAGGAGTGGGTTCCGGGATCTCCATGGAACTCATCGGAATGTGGTTGTCTAGTAACTCTGGTTCCAAGTCCCTCAATGGTGACATATTGCACCTTTATTCATAAAAATAATTAATAATAAACGACATTATATTCGCAAGAAGAATACAACTAATTCAACTAGTGTCACAATACAATGAAAATAAAAAATATAGGATATAGATCTTTCTCTCATTTCAAATCTCCTGTTTAAACATGCAAAACTCCAAACGTGATTTTCCAAAAAACATAAATTTAGAGTTATTTCTTTTATGAATAAAGTGATATATAGGTTATGAGAGCGTTGGTGGCTCAGTGGTTTGAACACTTGATTTGTAATCTACAGGTCTTGGGTTCGAATCCCGCCATGTACCAATGTGATTTTCGATTTTTCGAATTTTCATATGTACATAATATACTCGACGTTCTTACGGTGAAGGAAAACATCGTGATGCAACTTGCACATATCGGCGAAGAAATTCAAAGATATGTGTGAAGTCAACCAACCCGCACTGGTCCAGCGTGGTTGACTATGGCCTAGTCACCCCTTATTAGGGTAGGCTCCGAGCCCCTCGGTGGGGACGTATAGTGAGCTGGTGATGATGATGATGATAGGTTATGTAAGATGATGTTTGTGTAGCGAGTGGCTGTGAGGAGGGCAAGAGCGGCGGGGCCCGCAGCGGCGCGGTGCTGGCGTGGCGGCTGCGCATGGCGCTGGTGGAGCACTCGGCGTTGTGCAGGCTCGTCACCGGCGGCAAGGCCAACGCGCTGCACGAGATCGCACGCGCAGCGCATCTGCTGGCGGTCGCTCCTACACGTATGTACTCATAGTATCCGAAACATAACGACTATTTATCTATATACAAAAGAAAATATATGTACAGTCGCGGAAATCTGTGATCTTCAGGAAAAATTGCCTCGTTAATTACAGGACAACTCAGCCTCTTCCTTCAAATAACTTGTTATAATAATTAAAAGAAACTAGCTTTGTATTACTAACCAACTTTTTTTCGTATAGACATTTATAAGCTGCATTGTATTGATTTTTGTTCATGTCTCGTTTCAAAATGTTTAAACGATTGTAGCTTTTAAGGTGGAACATCACCAGTTTCTCCGACTGTAACTTCGGTTTTTTTTTAAATCTAAGTTTATCGCTATTATATTAAATGTGTAATTTTTGTTTTGGGTGTTTTCTAAATGTGTCTCTCCTGTATTTAAAAATTATTTTCGTTCTTGTTGATAGAAGATTTTGAAGTTTTCCCTCTCTAGTGCAAATACTCTTATTCTTCTTCGATTTCTTTTCACTTCTGTTATGGTAGTTATATTTATTTTTTAATTATTCTTCTGTGTACGGTAGCGGGTAGCGCGGCTGCGCACACACCACAGCTGCACTGCCTATTGGGTCTGTACGCGATGTCTATGAACTGTATGGAGGCAGCGGAATCCCAGTTCCACACTGCTATACAAGTAAGTTAATCTTTTCATTTATATTGTATTATACTAGCTTTCGCCTGTGAATCCGCCTGCTCGGAATTAAGAAAAAAACTAAAGTAGCCTATGTGCTTTCTTCCAGATTATCTATTCAACAGTTTAGGCTACAAACTCTAAGAAACATCCATCCATCTAAACTTTCGCATTTATAATATAAGATTATCAATAAACTAGCTACTCTTGATAACCCATTAGAAAACATGAAACTGATTATTTTTATATTTTTTTTCAGATGTCACAAGAGAGGGACTTATGGATGTTTGCGAAACTCAACCTGGCTATTGTATACCTCCGAGGCCGAAGAGACAATGATTTGGCACAATTAATGGAACAGGTAAAATACTTGCTTAAACAAAAGTTCAGAGTCACTAATCGGTCCCTAAGTACGTTTCTAAATGTTCATTTAGTAAGAAAAATCATACTAATTTAATGATTAAACAACTGTGATAGTAAGATTGTGTAATGTAGGTGCGGCCGGAGGCGCTGCCCGCGTATGCGCATGGTCTACGAGCAGCTTCGTACTACGTGCTGGGGCTGCAAGCGTTCTTCCAAGCAAGATATAATGAAGCAAAGTAAGTTACTTTACTCTTTAGATAGTATTTAACTGGACTTGACTTTCAAAGTCTTTTTAAACGTGAAATTTAAAAATATCATAATGCGTGTTAATGCTGTCTCCTAATTGTTATGAAATATCAGATTCAATTTCCATACTTGTTTAAGTGCCAATCGCCTAATGGTTAAGAGTATGAATTCCTACGTGGTTGAGAGTTCGAAACCCGACATTCGACTACTATCGTAATCATAGCACAAGCCTAGAGCTTAGTTAGTGATAGTACAAGAAATATTAGTAAAAACGAAGAGTAAAGTTAACTTTTTATTCTTTTTACAGACGATACCTCCGCGAGACTCTGAAGATGGCGAACGCTGAGGACCTGAACCGTTTAACGTCATGCTCGCTGGTGCTGCTCGGACACATCTTCTTATCCATCAACAACTCCCGCGAGAGCATGAACATGGTCACCCCCGCCATGCAGCTCGCCAGCAAGATACCTGATGTACATGTGCAGCTATGGGCCTCCGCTATACTTAAAGGTATATATACTTATGTACTAATATAATATAAACACTTCTTTGTTATTATTATTATTTATTGAAAACATTACATGACACAAATTAAAAAATATGCACAAATATGGCCCCGCAAAAACCATATAATTGGTTTGTCCGTGGGTGCGCTGGTTTTTTTTTGTGTAGAATTACATAAAATACATACTTATATAAATAAAATATTATATATACTGTATAAAATAATTTGTTATGCAAGATAAATTGTTATGTAAATAAATTGTTATGTAAGTTTTCAGAAATCACAGTATGTTTTTTTATTAAAGAAATGCACTTAAGAGATGGTTTAGGGTATGTATGCTATTAAGCTTAGTGAGTGAGTTCATTGATAAAAAACCTCTACAAAAAAGGGAAAAACCCACAGGTCAACACTAGTAATGCATCCAGGTTGCCAGTTATTTGAATTCTCAGCCTATACCCAGAGACTTCATTATCATTTGAGCACTAGCAATAGAAAGTTTTACGGAATGTGAACAATAAAATTAACTTCTCATAATGGATCAAAGTAAAAATTCAAATCTATTATTTCTATGGAAATTATACCCAACAAACAATCTTTTTCAGACTTATACCGTCTTGCTGGCGATACTGAGCGGGAGAACGAAGCATACCAGATGCACTGCAACTACTCGCAGGCATTATTGAAAGACCACTTCCAAGCGACGCAGTTACCGCAGCACGTGCTGGTGCAGTGGACTAGTGGTCCTCCGCCTGCGCTGCCTCCAGCGCTGCCCCCAGCATCACTCCCCAACACCACATAGTGGCTGCACCACTCACCAGCCTGCGACACCGACTGGCCCGGTGTAACGCAGCTGGTGGACTTATTGGATTAACAGTGCTACAGTGTCAGTGATATTGCAGTAATCAGTGCTCCCAAGTGTCCCGTCTGTGCATTTTTGTGTCAATGATATGATTTTTGGTGTAATTGGTTCACAATGTGTCAGTGATAGAAGCCCAAGAGTAAGTGCACCCATAGGTGTGGCCTATGTACTGGTGAGGCAGCTGTCTAAATAATATAATAATCAGCAAACTATAGGCATTGGGAAGTCATTGGATGTGGAAGGCGGAGGACCGCATTCTGTAGAGGGTATTGGGGAAGACCAATGTCCAACAGTGGGCAGACAAAGGCTTATGATTATGATGATGATGAAAAAACTAAATCCAAGGTTTTATCATGATTAATGTATAACACCCTGTATCTGTTTTATTTGAGTTATCCAAAAAAATAGTTATTGTTCACTTTCACCACAAAATTTTCGATAACAAATTGCAATCTTGATGATATTAAGTATTCTAATTTTGTGCAGTATTCCACTAACAAAATTCTTGCATCTTACAATGACAAATTCCGCATCACAGATATAACCGAATTTGAAGAAGTGAGTTGCGCAAACTAAGTGATAACAATAAAAATCATTAAGCCGCATACTGATCAACCACTTTTCAAAGACATACTAACTGTGTCCTATTGGTTATCGTTCTGTATCAACTCAATCCATACTAAATGGATAATTAATCCATATAATTAAGGTGGAACACCGCCAAATTGCCTAATTGTACTTCACAGGTCATAGAAAGGGTGAGGTAAGCACTGTCCCACCTGGCCTACACCCATGAGTGCACTCAAGTGTCACTGACAATATAATAGAATTAAGTGTACCTGTTAATATCAGTGATACAATATGATTTAGTAATAAATCATTCACATCTATAGTACATGCACCAGACCATTAAAACCCTAGCCTGGTATTAACAGTCTAGTGTACCTATTAGTGCTTATAAAAGACTGGGTCATGAGAGTTGTTGTAAAACCCCTAAAGTACAGTGAGTGTTAATGTCACAACTGAATGTGTAAATTCCTTTTACGATGTAAAATTATTACAGTTACAAGTTATGTAGGATATGTGTACATTTGTAAAACTTTTTTTTTATCTAACAAATTGTCTTGGAATGGGATCTCGAAAATGTATCAAGTATTATTATAGTTATATAATGTTGTAAACCTTCAAATTCCATTAATTTTTATCTATGTAGCTTTTATTTGAGCTTTTCTGAGAATTTAAGCTTTATCATTTTGGCCTCAAGAGAGCTTCCCATAATCTATTTGCTCAAGGTTGCAAGAGTACACTAAATAATTAAAAAAGTTGACTATTTCAAGTTATATTGTAATAAATGAACACTCGAAGATTAAAAATAATTTGGCTTTTCTATCTATATAGACTATTGCATATTTTTAACAAGTAATTTGATGAAAATTGAAACATTTTGTCTTGCACCCAACATGTATAAAATTTAAATGTTCATTTGGAGCAAGGTAAAGAATTATTTATTTTTATTTGTTACACAAAATCATCTCTAAAAGCCTAATTTTTTAAAATCCCTACTAGAAAAACACATTTATTAAACAAAATAATAAAAGCAAATGCAGTATGTATAAAAAAATAAAATTTAACTTTCTTGGTATAAGCAATGAATACTTATTTATTTTTTTAATTAATCAATTTCGTTTTTATAAGATTTTTATCTTTTTATTTACTAGTCTTTAACTTAACAATTAGCTCATTGCCCTAAGCACTATTTGACTGTCCATGTACTAATATAAGCTTGTTCCAATTTGTAAAAATGTGCTTAAAATAAGAGATACTTATAAAACACATCCCTGACTATCCCTTTTATGTTTAAAAGGCATGAAAATTCTTTCAATTTGTATTATTGTATCTGCAAATGTTGATATCTGGGCAGGGGTCATTTCGCTATTTTGGCGAATTCCGGTGACTACTCCCTAATTAGTCACCTTTTACTATAAAAGAAAATGAGTTACAATACAGATGCAGAAAAAGATTTTTAAAAACAAAATCAGTTTATGTTAAGAGGTATTAGAAACATTTTTATTGTAATTATTTTGCAAATATGTAACCAATATCCAATGTCGAAATATAGTATTTACTGTAATAGAACATTATAATTGTCCTATTCTTTTTTATGTAAATTATTAATAATTGCAAAAACATCTATTGCATGAATTACTAAATAATAATGATTGTGACGTTTCTAATTAAAATACAGTCAGTTGCATAAATGTGTACTCATTTACAAATCTTCAGAAACTTGTATACTACAGTTAATGAAGATTCGTAAATGTATACATATGTAGCTGACTAATTATTCTCATATGTGATTTCTCTGCACTGTCGACTGATAAAATTGTACATATACACGTCTATTATAAAATCAATGAACAAAGACGTCTGATATTTATTAAATTCTTAGTTTGCAAGCGATTGTTTGTATATGGTTAAATAATATAGTTAAATATCTCATAGATGTTTCCTCAAACGCAGTTGTCATGGACGGTCTCCGGCGTTCATTTTAGATTTTAAATAAAACTCAATGTTATTTTTGTATAAAATGTTAAACTGATTTCCGTTACACGGGGGCTCCATCCACAAGTGAGTTTACGCAACCAATTACTATGTATTACGCGTGCGCAATAACATGCTACCTAAATCTGATGACGTAGATAATATAAATATAAATTACAAGACATGTATGGTATAATAATAATGCAAATTATATGCAGGAGTATAAACATGTCTTTATTTTCTTTATTGAATGCAATAACGTCATTATTGTCTCATGTTATTGTTCACAAGTAATGTACCCCCAAAATGCTTTCTGTTACATTGCACTTGTATCTGTGTATTAGTTGAAAACAAGTTGAGTTAGGCACTTTTTTGCGTAATAGCAAAGCAAATATGTTAAAAAATATCCTATAACTATGGTCGCTAAAAAATATTTGTTATTTGAATATGTTTTTAGCAATAACTTATTGTTAAACCGCTCAACAATGTTTGAAGTTATTCACGTTTTGTTAAATATTTAATCGATTTTCTAGGAGACAGTCAGATGCAGCCTTACGGAGGGGGGTATGTTTGCTGTTGTTAATATGTAAATAAAAGTTGAACTATTGTAAATAATAAAATTATAAATATATGTTTTTTGGTATATATGGTTTTTATTCAATTACAAACACATCTAGTTTACTTAAGTATAATAAAAAACTTATTCAGACGGTATAAAGTTCTTTATGCACAATGCAGTCCAGCGCTGGAATTCAACTGGAATAAAGCAAACCCATACTGAAATGTCTGTAAGTTACATTTTTCCAGTTGTAATAAGCATATTGGAATAATGTAAACTTGGCATAAAATTCACTGTAACAAAATTGTTTGCTTATGAAAGAATATTGTAAACAACAAAATACTTTTAATTGCTACTGCATGAATATACACTACAAATAGAGAATTCTCCTCCGATAGGTTCGGAGTAATGTGGCGGATCGGGCCCAAGGTTGTTCTTTCTGTAGAATGTGTCGCGAAGTAAGGCACAGCGCCCTTTGTTCACATCTCTAGCTGGTAGCCTGGATTTGCTCTGTTGCCAGCCGTAATCACAGCTTGTGGTCGCGCGATAGTTGAACCTTTGAAATAAAACATTTTATAAAGCGTTTCAAATAAGAATGTACCTGAACCTTTATCATCAACTATATTGTGACGTCATAGCACTCAATTCTAAAAATAAGAATTTCTTCGCAAAAAAATATTTAAGCAAATATTTTTTTTGGAATTCTTTTTCGCCATAGAGAGGTCGTTGACCCGCAGTTTTTTCAAACTGAATATCACTTCGGCCTTTTACATTTGGTATTTTACAAGGACCTTTAATGGTATGCACTAGTTAATTAAAGCGTCACTAACTTATCCTCCGGTGATTTTTTGTATCTCTGTTTTAAATATCTGACGGTAGAGCCTTTCTCTGTGCTGCCGTACAGTAAGTTGACCACTTCAGGTTCAATGGCCTTCATCTCAGTGCATTCTTCAGACTGAATTAACTCGCGCGGCGGAACTGGTTTAGCGTAAATTCGAGGCTCGTCTAATAACTAAAATATGAAAATGCAAGTCATTAAAAATTGACGGTAGACATAGATTTAGATCTCTTCTGAAGGGACTACAATATTGATCTTTGACATGAACTAATTAACGATTGGTAAAAGTTGGACCTAATTTTCAGAAACCTCCAAAATATATTTGAATATGATTTGGACTTATTCAATGTTATTTAAAAGATAAATCCGGTACCGCTAAATACTTCTTAGCTAAAGCTATAGAGGCGTCTATTTCGCGGACTTGCTTTTCCTTATTGGCTTCTAAGACATTGAGTAAATTTTTCTGGTTCCATTCTCTAATCCTTTGTTCAGATCTGACCAGAGCGTCCGCGTAGAAAGCGGAAATTTCTGGTGATCCCATTTTGTTGTTAAATTACACAACACAATTTTGAAAAAACGGTTCTGACTAAATTTGATTGATGATTAAATGTTGCCATTGTACAAATGTTTTTTATTCCAGCCATAAAGTTTTCCTTTTTCATACAAATTCAATTATGTAAGTTATAAAACGCTAAAAAAAACTACGTTTCGCGATCATGTTTCGGTAAAAATTGATTAAAACCCCTTTACTCGAATGATAATTTGGGACAAAGCACTAAATAATTACGCGAGTTTTTTTTGATAAAAAACATTTTATTAATAAAAACTAAACAAAACGACGAATTCTTAACACTTAACACATATACAATAGATGTCTTATATGCATACCCGAGAGACGGAATGTATTTAGAAGATTATTCAAACACAAGAAACATACATTAAAACAACTTAAATTAAAAAAAAAACTTTGTATATAGTCCAAATAAAATAAATTAAATAACAATGGTGACATTCTTTCATATTATAATATTACCTTTAAATAATAATTACTGTTGCAAACATATTTTATGTCTATAATTATTGAGGTTTAGAGGATTTTTTAAATTTTATAATAATCTATACCAACAAGTAAGTCTTAAAAAACATGCACACAATATTATTAAATATACTTATTGGTTCTAGAACAATTGGTTACAAGGTTTGGAAAATCCGTGACTCTAGTCTATGTGGACGGTTTGCTTTTTAAATACATTATGGTCAGCTTATGAATTGAAAAAGGTTCTTATGAAAATTAAAATAAATGTAGGGAATAAAGAAGTCAAAATATAACAGTCAATATTTTCAAACAATAGCTAAGTTACAGATACCATCTAACTTTGATCAACAATTAAAAAAGAATTATGTATCTCTAGAATTTTAAAACAAATATCATTTGGACAGGTCAGAATAACTTTTCTAGCTTAAAATACAGATCGTTAAACTATCAGAAGAATCACTTAGCACATTATCTCTTTACTTCCACAATATCGTCTTTTTCAACTTTGGTATTGGACTGTGCAGAACTTTTGAATAATCTTCTCAAATCACAAAACTTCACAATGTTTGAAATATAAAAAGTACCCCACAATCAATTCTGACTTTGAGATCTTGGTGTTTTACGTCCCATAACTGGACTTCCACCCATCTGTCGGAGAAGACCTCGTAGACCTCGTGCTTCTCGTAGGCCACTGTCAAGCTGTTCTGCTGGGACTGCACAGAAGTCATCAACTAGAGGCATGGGCCCACTGAGTCTATCAGAGTACTGGGCTAAGCGGGACTGATGGCCTATTGGTGAGGTCTTATCTAAAGACTGTTGCTGCATCTGGAAATACAATAACAATATTGTTAAAAAAAAAGTCAAGTGTCCTTAGTCAGCTAAGGACAGCTTATGGAGTTCCTAGGGAAACAAAAATCTGCAAACCATAAGTTGGTTTTATTTAAATTTATCCTTTCACTAACTGTTCCTGTGCGGCTTCATCCATATGAAATTAAAAACTTTATTTTATTGTTTACACCTGTCAAATTCTCAACTGCAAATGTCAAAATACCAATTACCTTACTATGGTAATCTTGCTTCTTGGTGTTAGCAGCTCATATCATATGTTCTCTTTATTAAAAAAAGAGTTATTAAAAAATATGCTGTAATTGCTGGCATCTTAGGCAACAAAGAAGTGTGTGTTTACACTTTATTATAATAGTATAGATTATGCACCATACAGGGTATACCAACCCATGTTCCACAATATTATTAGAAATTTGACCTACTCACTAGCTATTTATAATTAAAAACAAGCCCAGACAGAGGTCATTGATTCACGATTTGATGCAATTTTATGAGCATTGCCTTAGAGGTGGATGTTTAAAATTTTTTACACAAATTCTAATGCCATCAACAGAGAATTATAACTAGTTTGTATGTTTAGATTAAATATATCTGAGTAAACTATATCACCTTGCCTCTGAGTGCTGTAATTTCATCCTGTAATTTCTTCACCAAAGTTGCATCACTTTCATAGCTGGTGAGTGTGGGCTGTGGCATGCATTGGAAGACCGTCGCCAACAGATTGTGTAGCGACACCAGTACACTGTCCTGCCAACCTCGTGTGAAGTATAAGCTGAATGAAGGGTTTTCTTCTGGTTTCTGAATATATGGCAACACTAAAAATAAATAAGAATGAAATGAAAGCTCATAAAAACAGTTTTAAAAAGCTTTTTGTACTTTTAAAATACTTACTAAACCATTCTTTCCACTCATTTTGACCTTGTAATTCTGGCAGCATTTTTGACAAAAACTCAGATACTTTTTCATTTCTCACACCTCCCGTGCTTTGTGCTGCTGTTACTAAATACATTTTATACAAGCTATATTCTATTTTACGTACAGCTGAAATAAACAATTAGTTTGTTATAAAAAAACTTCATTTGTTTAACATACAATAACAACATTTTGTACACTTACCTGGTTGCACGTGTACCTCTAATTTTGAAAATACCAAGCTGTCTAAGTGCGACCAATATTCCTTAAGGCCAGCGAGGTCGGAAACATTAACGTAATGTAATATTTGGTCCACAATTTTGTCAACTCTAAATCCTTTGTCTTTATCAGCCTTCAAATCATTATCAAATGCTTTAACAGTTGATGTAAAACCACGAAAAAGTAAATATTCTCGTACCAATTCATCCACAAACTGTATATGAGCCATTTTTATACGATATGGAATGATATAAATGTTACTTATTAGAATTAATATTTATTTACAAAATGTTACGGACATTAAATTGGAAAGCTCATTTTGACATTAATTTGACAGTTGCTAACTGATGGCATACAGATTATGATAGATTGTGCAAGGACCGTTCAGCCAGTTCAATGAGAAAAGGTATAAATGTTCATTGACGTTTAGAGGAGAGTTGTCTCTTGGCTGTCAACGTCAATGTCAGTATTTCTTTCAAAACACTGTCCTTTTTTTTACTTTTCTTAATTGTATTTTTCACACTTTTTATAAATTGTCTTGAAATGGATCAATGGATTAAAGAAGGTTTATCAAGAATCTTGGATTTTCAAATTCCTGAAGATCTCATCAAGTGAGTAACTTTTAAAATTGTTTGAAGTAAAAAAGTTTTTTTCCTTAATTACACCATATTTATCTATTTTCAGCTATATAAATTCTATTGAAAACGAAAATGACTTAAATGAATACATGAAAACTCTATTGGATTTCGACAATTCTCAACATAAGTCATTTTTCCTGGAACTTTGTAAAAAGAAGTTCCCCAATAGGGGTATGTTATTGAAAATTCCTATTCAAGTTAAATACTAGGATTCACAATAAAATACAGCTTATAATAATAAAATGTTTCGTTATAATATCAGGTAATACAATAACAAGGCCGCAAAAGAAAAAGATTTCAAAAAATAAACAGCAACAAGACATAAATGTAGAAGTGCCAGTACCACAAGTCGCACAGCTCCCAGAAGCAGATTCAAAGACTAAAAAGAAGACTAAGTATGTCAATTTGTATTCCCAAGAGGGAAAAAATGCACAAGTTGTTTTGCTTAAAGGTAAATAATTTTTAAATATTCATCCAAACAGTGAATAATCAAAACAAATTATTTATTACTGATTTAATTTCATGAATGTGAAAACAAGAAAACATGCCATTATTTTAATTTTAAACAAAAGCATAAGAGAACACTTCTAAGTGGCCAACTGCCTTTCAATAGCACAATACACACCAATATTGCTCTATTTGTAACATTAATATGTAAACATTCACAATAAATCTGCAATTTTTAACAACATGTTCTTTTAACAACTCACTATTATGTTCAGGTAGGCACCATTGTGATTGTCAAGCGTCTAAACATGAGTTGATCAACAACTGTCTGCAGTGCGGCAGAGTTGTCTGCAAACAGGAGGGCTCAGGCCCTTGTCTATTCTGCGGAAATCTTGTAAGTATTTAGTATCGACACAACTTATTTATACAGTATTTTATGTAGTTTGAATTGTCTTTATAACGGTTAGTTTTCACTATTGGTATGATTGCATAACATTCTAGCTTATCCGCGACTTTGTTCTCGCATGTACTAATTGTATAAAGAGGAAAGATTTGTATTTTTGGACCGATTTCAATTTTCTTTCAAATTCTTTCGTAATTAAAAAGCTATGTTATCACTTAGTAACATGGGCATTATTTTTTAAGTTCACATAGACAAAGATCTGTTAAGCTGTTTTGAATATATCTAGTAACAAACATCTATCCATATATTTGCAATTATAATATTTGCGTGAAGTATGGTTTCATTATATTTTTACAGGTTTGTACTCCCGAAGAACAGAAGGAAATTAATGCAAAGACAAAAGCAAGCGCTAAGCTTGTGGAGTCTTTGATGGAGAGGAACAGGCCTAAAGGTTGGGAGGCGGCTGTTTCACACCGGAATAGATTACTAGAGTATGATCGTACTAGGTAAATATTTCTTACTTGTTATAAAATACACTTTAGTGAACTCTCAGAATTAGGACATAAATGTCTATTTTTAAAGGTCTACTTTTATTGTATTAGAGTGGGTGCACCTTTGTCTAAACTATTGGACAATAGTTGTGCGATTGTCGATTGTTTCGCAGTCAATTCCACCGTTTAGTTGCACAACTAAAAATCTAACCAAGGCGCGACTAAACAGTTGTACGATAGTTTAGTCAAAAGTGTGGGCGCCGTATACTAGTCTTAATACAGGCTTTTGGCAGTATTTAACATGAATAATGTGTTGTTTAAAATCCTAGGGAAAAAAAACAGTTAAGTGTTGCAAGTTCTTCAACAAAGCTGGCAACTTCTTCTTCTTCTGTTGCTCTACAGCCCTTTGTGGGCCTTGGCTTGCTCCAGCAATTTTTTCCATTTCGGCCTATCTCTGGCCGTGGTCCTCCAGTTCGCTATGCCAACGGTTTTCACATCTCGACTTATGCCGTCTATCCACCGGAGCTTTGGCTTCCCTCTGCTGGCGATGCTGGCAACACTGTTACAATTTTTTTTTTTGTTTTTCTATACTGTAGAACCTCGATAACTCAAACATCGGTAATTATATAACTTCAAAAAATAATATGTTCCCTTCCCATCAGAGCCAAAAACTTCTACAACAAAGACCCTTGATAACTTAAAATATTTTGGATTTCCCTTGGACTATAAGTTATCGAGGTTCTACTGTATATTTATTGTGTATGTTTGCAGTGAGCGTCGTACTCGTGTGACGGACGATGACAGCGACTACTTCAGCGCGTCCAGCGTATGGCTGAGCGCGGCGGAGCGCGACAAGCTCGCTAAGTACCAGCAGACCTTGCATGACAAGAAGCACGCCTCCAGACTTACTAAGAAGATGACCTTCGACTTTGCAGGTATACCCTTACTTATCTGCAGTTTAAATTTTTTATGCTAGGATTTGTCTACTTTTTTATGCAAAACTAGCTTTTGTCCGCAACTCCGTCTACGTTTAAATATAACAACATCTATGATAAATTTAATTGCGATCCGTTTAGGCGGCAAACTCTAACAAACATCCATCCATCTAAACTTTTGCGTTTATAATATTAGTAAAATTTAGACATAAATTGCGTACGCGAAAGTTACAAAGCCTTCATTGATGTTTGAAGTTCTAGCTAGCATAAGGATTAAAGCTAATATTTTTTTTCTGTTTATTATCTTTGAGAATTAACATATTTTTTGTTCTTATTTTGTCGGACATATGTGCCATTGGAGGTCATGTAATGTCTTTGTCCAGGTCGTCAAGTGATAGAAGACAACAGCATAGACTACGAGGTGGATGAGGAGCAGGTGCGGCAGCTGTCGGGCGGGGGTGGAGGTGGTGGGGGCGGGGGCGGAGGGCCGCAGCCGCTGCTGCAGGGGCTGCTCACTGACACCGACAGAGATGTTGCCCCTGGAGTTAACGCACCGCTTTTACAGGTAATCACACTAATATTATAAATGCGAATGTTTAGATGGACGTTTGTTAGAGTTCGAATTTAAATGACTAAATATATTTCAATGTAGATGTATATGATAGCCAGAAAGAACACATATACTCACTTCTGTTGTTTTTAATTTCTCGAGGACGGAGACGCA